CAACGTTCACAAAAAGCATAAAATATAAGCAAATTAGATGCAACTTCTAAGACAAAAATGGACAAACAAAAGGGATTATAATCAATTATAATCGATTATAATGGATTTTTGTGCAAAACTAACGAAATAGAATTTTGAATAAAAATAATGGATTATAATCAATTATAATCGATTATAATTGTATCGAAAAATAGACGAATAAATAATCGATTATAATGGATTATAATTAATTATATTTGATTTGAATAAAAAGAGATTATAATCGATTACTAATTGATTAAAATCGATTGTTTCTCAATTTTAGTGAGACTGGTACTAAAATCGTAATATAATCGATTATTAACGCTTGAAACTGGATGCGGGTTGATTCTCTCGTTGAAAATTAAAAATTTTTTTAGATTTTGAAAAGTTGTTTTAACCTCTCACTTTGTAAAATTTTACAAATTTGCCTGCAACCTATTTTACAGCATTGCGTTTTGGCTTACCTAACCAAACAAAAAGACCAAAATAGATATTCTGGTTCAAAAAATGATTCACCTATTTTGAATATCTAAAATCGCACATAATTACCAACCATTCAATATCAAAGAAAAAAAACACTCTATTGTTGCTAGTAAGCTCCTTTTGTTTAAAGCTAGTAAAATTTGAGCTAGCTTATGAACAAGTAGGAACAGATGGATAAGCACAACTCAACTTTGTACGAAATCATTAATCATCATAAATTGATTTAAGTTTAGATATGCGCAGTATGGCAAGAAAATTGTCAAAAGGAGTATACAAAAACTCAACTGAGTCAATTATTGCTTGCTTAAAAATTGCGTTTAAAATAACACTAAACTATGATTCTAATTTTTAGGAAAATATGAAGAAAAATTGATCGTCCCAGAAAGCAGACACATTCAACCACAATTTTCAAACTGCTACATCTTGATAATGAAGGTTTTCTCAGGAAATTTATTTTTAAAGTTAAGCTTGATTCGTGAATTATATAATTTTCCAGTGGGTTACCTTTGTTTAGTTTTTAGGCAAAAAATTACCAAAAATTGAAATCTAAGTAACCTAATTTGTCATATAAAATAGTTACAAGCATTGAGAATTTTTTCACCCAGTCTCAAACACCTACAAAATGAACTTTCAGTCTTAGATTTCTGTGAGCAAACCTATAGGCCAATTGGTGCTCTCCGAGGCAGTAGAGTTTTTGGGGTGCTTTTTGAAATTATTAAATACTAACAATGGAAACGCCCGAAACCATTTTATGATTGTTATTAAAACATCAGAATTTATAGATGTGACCAACAGCTCTGACTCTTCTCTTCCTTTTCTATCAAAAATGAAAACACAGGCAGTAGTAGTTTTACTCTTTTTTGTTTTCGTAAGTTGGAGAGATCCCATTATCAGGAGCAAGGCATTAAAATTTTGACTCTAATGGTGACTTGCTGTTTTAAAAGCAAGCCTCAATAAAAGCCTCATGCCTCAAGCAAGCCTCAAGCCTCTTTCTTAGCTTTCTTCTTTAGTAAATTCTTGTTACTAAAACAATGCTTGTCAAAAGGCTGTACTAACCTTTAGATAAATTAAGCAATGCTTCCACTACTGACATTGGTTGCACAAAAGCATTATTTGTCAATTCAGAACTCATGTCTAACGCAACTTTTCTACACGAAATTTAGACTTAGTTTGTTGTTTCTCTTCATATCGAAATCTGCGTGGACGTTAAAACTTGAGAGCGATAACTGTGAATTGCTCTTGTCTTCTTTCTAGACTCTAGTCTGATTTTTAGGATCGAATTTATGAATTGTACTTTTTTTTGGAACGTCACTTCATCCAATATCATTTCTGATTTGTCTTCAGAGTGCAGGATTTCTGCTGTATCAAGTCTGCATTTTATTTTTGTCGTATCCCACTATATTTCTACGAGGTCTCTGATGGTTGCTCTGAGTATTACTGAGTTTGTTATTTACTCACTTTCCAAATGACGAGGAAAGTTCTATGCCCGAGAGATATATCGCATGTCGTTCAGTTTGCAGGGCGGTATTCCTCTTGAAAGCTCAATTGACAGAGAAAGAAGTTGAGGCAGAGCTTTAAATTTTGAGTCAAGCTGGTCACTCTAGCGGATATCTCTCGAGTGATTTTATAACGTTTATAAACCAAGAGTATATATTATCATTTACACTCATCAAATTTATTTAACAAAATTATCAGCAAAGGTTGGCCACTCCTTTTTTCATCACCAAGCCTTTTTCGGAGTTTATTATTTGAGTTCAAATGTTTACTTCCTGTTTCTTTCGTAATGATGTTTACTAGTCCCCTGGTTCACATCTTCTTGTTGTCTCACGGTAAACATAGTTCGTGGTCGTAAAAACCAAAAGGGCCTTGGAGTAATTTGGTTGGGTCAAATAATGAATCACACCTATAAATTGAATTTAGGGATGTGACACTACCATCCTTGAAAAGGTTGCCACGGGTTTGAAAGTTTTTCTGCGCTTTGCATTTTGTAGAAAATACATGGGTACAGTTTTGATATCCTCTTGCTCCACACACAGCCCGTTGGTCAGATTATATATGTTCACAAATATATGGCACATGGATAAGTACATTTTATCAAGAATGTGTTAAAAGTTGTGGTAATAATTTTCTTTACAGTGATACATTTCTTTAAAGTGGTTCTTTTATGGTTATTGAAAGGTGTTTTATTTAAGATGTAATAAGCTTTCTAGTGCTCTTTCAGTGGTACTATTTTTGCATTCAATAAAGGAAGTCTTGGCTGTGACTTAGAAACATCTCGGTTGATGAATGATGTTTTCGAGGTGAAAGCGTGAGCTCTCTTATTGAGTTCCATTTTCATCTCCGACTTTATTCTGTTCGCGTGATCTTTCACGTCATTCAGTGCTTCTTGAAATGGACCTGTAGGTTCACTGGAGTCAGCATTTGATTCTTGTGTTAGTGGAGGTGTCAAGATTTGCGTAGGGTCAGTTCTCTCCTTTTTATTTTTGTGGTAGATCCACATGAAAAGTGCATGGAGAACCATAGAGCCTATGAAGGAAATTATACTCATTATCAATGAATTACTAAAAGTCAGTCGATCATCAAATACTCTTGCTAATGATGGTCGATGTTTTCTCATATTCAGAGCTAGCGGCTTTGCTATTTTCTTCATCTGTTCTTGATTTTGAGCATTTGGGATTTCGAGTAGATTCTTCTTTACTTCCTTAAACACTTCGATTTCCGCTTCCGTTTTTGAGTCGTTATACGGCATGTCCTCTAATTCTGGTAATTCGCTTAGCAAGTTTGAGAGCGGGTCCGGCAATTGGACGTTGATCTTGATTGCTTGGAGCTGTTCGCATGTTGCTAAAACAGATCGAATTTTTATAATAGGCCCTACTAACTGTTTTCCACATTCCAGTGTTACAATGCAGATATTGCATCCCAGGAACTTCTCTACTCCGCTGGCGGTTGTTGATTCGATATCAGACTCGAAGAGAGTGTATGCAGATGTTGCTGATGTGATCAACCATTATCCAAATGCTAGATTTTCAGCCTTTTCAGTGGATGGTAACTGGATCTGTTGGGTGTCGCATACTTTCAGTGTGTCCAGATTTCCCTTGAAGAAAAGAGTTGCGAGGCATGATCCATGTCCTGTCTCAGTAGCGATCATTTTGTGGCAAATCTGATACCTTGAAGATCCAAGGCAGTGTTTCAGGTTGTACTTTGCTAACATTGCTGTTTCCATATTGTCCTCCGATATTGCCAAGTAGGGAGCTTCCGTTTTCCACATAATGGCTTTATCCTTCTTATACTGTGGCATCGGGACTGGAATTGCGTGGAAGACCGTAAATGAAGTTTGTCGTGACGCTAGTGGAATGGCAATTTTCATTAGCAAGCCTTCTTTGATAGTGACCACGTCGGTAAGAAGCTGGGATTCGTTGTAGGATAGAATTTTGTCCATCGGAATGGCTAGTGAAAGTCGATCACGGGCATGGCTTTGCATTTTGGAAACTTCTTCTAGAATTTTAAGCAATGAGTCTCGTGGGACTAACGACATTGGCAGAAATTTATTCAGCAAAGACGGTATCGAGTTAAGCATGTTGATGCGATAGGAGTAGAGAGGTGGTCGGTACGATTTCACATTTCAAAAGTAATCGCAAGCAGCGAGGAGACCGTATCATAATTGAAGTTAATCTGCTGTCTTGTGAACAAACGTTGATCACAGTCCCGTAGAGTGTGGTTGTTTTGCTTAAAAACTTCAAAGTGCTCCTGAATAACTTCCCAGTTTCGATTTTGGATTTTTATCATTTCGTCTTGTGCCTGTTTTATCGAATTTAATTCACTCGTTACCATGAAGAATTTATCATCTAGATTTTCTGCAAGCGTATGGACCTTTTCAGGTATTTGGCTGGCAAATTCAGGGAGTTTGACAATGTTTTCAGCATTTTCTTTAGACTTATCATTGCAGGATCCAAAAATTCCTCGTAGTCCACAGTCTGCTGTTTTTCCTAGTGAAATTCCTCCTCCAAAAAGTCCAACTAATGCCAAGGCTGCAATCCCTAAGGCGGGTGCTCGTTTTTGCCCTTGATTGGATTTGTGTTGTTGTTCATGGTTGTTCATAGAGGCTGTATATTTGCGCAGGGACGTAAGATCCTGTTTTGCTAAAGAGACCTCGTTTTTCACTTGGTGAAGTAGCCAGTGGACATCAAAAGTTGAATCGGTTTTTGTGGAGTTTGAAGAAAGTTCCAAATGGCAAAACAAGCTGGGTTGCTTCAAGAAGTCGTCAAGTTCATCTCGGATAATTAGTTCAAATTTTGGGAAAGATACTAAGAAATTTATGGGAAAGAAGTTTTCTGCTAGGATAATTTTCGAGTCGTAATTGAAGATGATTCCATTTTCCAAAAATGTCTCTGATTGTTTTTCTGAGTTGATGTCAGAGTTGCAATGAGCTTTGACCATGTTGAGTGCTATGAGAGCTAAATAAATTTCATCTAATGTAATTTGAGCTTTTCAGATCCTTTGAATAATGAACGTTGCCTTGATTTTGTTTATTGTTTCTTGTATTTGGGCGTGCGAAGAAATTGATGTATTGGAGAAGAAGCTGTTGTGTTGTGATGGAGAGTTTGATGAAGGGGGGGCCGTGTGTCAGAGATAGGATGGGAGTATGTGGAGTTTGAAGGAGAGATGTTGAAGAAGGCGATGTTGGTTACGACTGTAGCATGAAAATATGTCTTGGATTAGTGCCTTTTTGTGTTCTTTTCTTGTTCTGCAAGTTAGTCTTTAGACATGCCTTCAAATAGTTAATTGTAGATGTACTTTTTAGCTTGTAGTTCTTAATTTTAGTGGCATGTCTTGTTAAGTGTACTACAGAATTTGGAAAGTACATTTGTGCACCTGAGTGTTATGTTTGCATTGTAGTTATGTTTGCATATATCATAGTGTCTGTCTTGCTGCATGATATAGTGACATGCGTTTCTTATTTTTAGTTACGTCATGGTTATACCTGAATACAGAAAGCTCCAATTCGAAAAACAATTATCAGCAATGAAGGAGTTCTCGAAAGAAGATCTCGAAAGAAAAGGGTGGCTCTTCGTTGGAGCAATCAGCGGAAAAGGTTTCAAAACATGGAAGAGCGTGATTGAAAAAACCAGACAAGACGGCTATGGAGAATACAAGAAAGGCAATGATTGGTTTAAGGTTCCTTTCGAAGTAGAGGTACAGGAGCTGTTCAAAGTGTCGAAGAAGACGTTAAATTCCTTTAAGTTAACTGATACAACTGAGAAGCTTCGGGCTATCTCCAACAACGTCATTACCACATCATGCATTGATCCAATGTTCACTGACAGCAAAGGATGGGCTATGTCGATGGAAAATTTGGCAAAAATAACACTTTGTCTAAAATACCTAAAAGTTTGTCATTTTCCCTGGTCGATGGACTTTGTGGTGACAAACCCTGGTTTACTGAGGGCCACGTTGAGTTGGTGGGCGACGATAGTGTATCTTGTACGTTGTTTGGTAGGAAACTATTTGTAATCGCAACTGAGAAGAAAGCTTCTGATAAAGTCCTGCAGACTCTTAAAACTGCAACTGCGATGTTCTACTTCTTGATGGCTGCACCTCCGGATGGATTCAAGAATGAAATTCGTCTAATGTTTTCAAATCAGGCGAAATTAGTTTTCCGAACCGGCTCTCTGCGTACTTGCGATGTTTACCGTCGATGCGCCTGCTTGTGTTGTCGGCTGGGAAGCAGGTTGTCCCAACGACGAAGATCGCCTCAAGGCAGTAAGGCAGAAGTATTTCTTCGGAGTGGGTAGGGTAAAAATCCAACTTTTATCCAAAATGCAAGGATCTGAGAGGTTGGAAGAACCTACAAGCGGAAGATGGCGAAGTTACCGACTTTTCGAAAAAGCCAGGACAATAAAAATTAAATCACCGAAGGTACCGCTTTTGATTTCAAACATTTTAATTTGACCTCATCTTGTATATTTATCAAAGGTTCTTGTTTGGTTTATAGAAAAAAAGAAACTATTGATCAAGGAAGCAGTGCAGAAAATGGAAGAAATGATCAGCGAGATTCCAGTTGACTAAAAAAGGTAAAGTGTCTTTCTAATTTGTCGTTGAAGCAATCTTTAAAAATTTGTCCCTCAAGAAAAAACTTTCGTAAAATGTATAATTTTAGCACAAAGGTGCATAACGTAATTTAGGGTTGATTTAAATAGCCGTTTTGGTGTTATTAGTCTCCAAAGTTGGAATTTTTGACGTTTTAGGTCAATTCATGTTTCGCAAATATCGAAAAGTGCATGTTCAGGTAGTTTAAAAATTTTGTCCCTCTCTAAAAAACTCATTCAGAATGTTTTTGTTTGGCACAGGGATACAAAACTGTATTTAAAAATGATTTAAATAGCCGTTCGCACAATTTTTTCTCGAAAGTTAAAATTTTGGGGGGAAATATGCCAAAAAACCTTGATTTTTGGTCGTTTTTAGGGGTGTGGAACTAGCAATGTTTTCTCTTACTATATGTGCCCCATGATTGTTTTTTCCATTGAAAGGACGTCTTGTGGTTCGTATCGTGCTCCAGCCTACGTACTGGTTTGATATTTTTCGAAATGTGGGAAAATTTGACCTACAAATTTCATTTAAAATTGGGCACTTTTTGGCCTGTTTTTCGAGGGTTTTTCGCGCAATTTGTGTATTTAACTTTATTTTATGTGCTCAAAATGGTGTCTAACATTTACCGACAACCACTTCTTGAAGTGTCTGTAACATAATTTTTGTCTCTTTTTAAATTAAATTATTGGTACTTGGTCGTTTTGTCGGTGTGTCCCCAAAAATTTCTTGAGATTTCTCGAAACCATTTTCATGGTACAAAAAGTACAAAATAGTTTTGTTGAAAAATTTTTTTTAGCATGGATCAATTAGGTATAAAATTAGCTCTCTTCATGTACAATTTGGGCTTGATTGCAAGTCGTGGTGTTGAGATGTGAGCAAATAAACTTGGGACAAAAATACGTCAATTTTGCGAAAAAGGTGAAGTTTTTTCCAAACCATCTTTACTTAGCACAAACTTAGATTTAGTAACAAAAATTGGTTTTATCAATAGCATAGGCCCATATGGTAAGCCTCTGAGGTTTTTAGTGGGTTCGTAGGCCCTTTGGGTCAAGGCTGTGACTCAAAACATTCAGGCTGTGTGTTTGCGTTTTTCGAATCTTTTGCCTCAAAATGGATGTTCTACTCAAATGATACAGACTCTTTCTTAGGTCAGACCTGAGTGCTGTACGGGCTACCCTGTGGATTGAAAGCAATTGACTTTGTTGTAAATTATACATAAAAAATGACACAATTTGGCGGGAGCAACAAAATTTTTACTTTGATGCCTGAGTTTCTAAAAATGGAAGTGACTCTTTCTGGAACCTTGGGCCTGCTTAATAGGTCCAATCCGCAACCTAATCTGGGTAGTTCTATTGAGTGAACGTTTTTCTGAAGCATATGGGACTTCAATATTTCTAGACTTTGACTTAAGCCTTTGTAAGTTGGTTTGTCAAAAAATTGATTTTTAGTGACTAAGTTGTAAATCCATTTATCTTGCTCTGTACAATAATTGGCTACTAATGAGCCAAGCTGGAGCGCGTTTTTGTATTTTCTGACGCTTGCTAGTGTTCCAAACGTATGTGTGAATTTTTTTTAAGTCCGAGGAAACCGAATGGCATAATAATTGTTCGTTCCTTTTTACTATATCTCCTTGAAAAATGCTAATGTTTGGTGGCAAGTTTGAGTATGTTAAGGGCTCCAAAACTTTTAACTGGAAATTTGACGACGAGGAATCTTTGATGGTCCTGGAACTCCTTTGTTACTCCTTGTTGGATATCTTTAAGGAAAAGTAGGAATAGGAATCTTTGTTTAAAAGCTTCTCACGTTTTGCTTCTTTTTCTGATGATGTTTGAGAGTTCTGTACTTCAACTGCATCTTTTAGCAGCTGTTCATATTGTGCAACTTCGTCTGTGTTGGTTATAATTTTCTGTCTGTCTACTTCTGAAAATTTTACTTTCGTTACAATTTTTGTCGCTTCTGTGCTTTCCGTCGCAATTTCAATGCCAGAAGCTATCGAAGTGTGTAATTCGGGCGATGCTGCTACAGGTGGGGGCGGTGGTATAGGTGCAGGCGTCGGGACACTGATCACTGGTGGTCAATGTGTACTTAAACTTGGCAATGCGACTGGCGGCGGTGGGGCCAAAATGGGCCCAGGAACTGCAGTGAAACCCAATTGATGTGTTACAATGTCATCATTTTGTGGTTCTTCTTCCGTGTTGACTTTTGCCACAGAAGGTATGGGTGCACATGAAAATTTTTCCTCCAGGTTCTGATCTAAATTTCCCAAGTGAAGGATCTCTTTCAAATTTGTTTTCGTCTAAGTCTTCAATGTCTTCCACCTGGTACTGTGGATCTATTGGTCTGAATCTTAATCTGTGTACAAATTGTATGTAATTCGATCCTACTTTACGGATAAGATAATTTGAACTCGAAAAACTTTTTCAATCCGGTGAAGTGAAAACCAAAGCTTCTGCGATTTTGCCGAAAAATCATTTTGTTTCAACAATAAAGGGTTCAAAAGAAGGCAATACTGATGCATTTTGAGCGGCTTTGAAGGGGCTTTTTTTTATCATAGTAGGATCTATATTTATGATAAGCTTCATTAATCCTATGTTTCGTTGCTGCGTATGAAGACATCAATTACATAGTCTGATTTTGTGTCAATAGATTGTTTTGGTTCAATGTGAACCTTAAATTTTTTGGCTTAGTGGGCTCTCTTCCGTAGAAGTTTGTGCTGGGTGTGGTGCCTATTGAAGAATGATAAGAGGTGTTATGAATGAACGTGGCAAGGTTTGAGTAACGATGCCAATTTGACCATGTTTCATTTATGTGTATCATTATTATCCTTTTAAAAGAATCATGTGCTCTTTCAACTACTCCTATTGTTTGTGGGTATTTGTATTTCAGTGAGGCGTGTTTCAATTTTATGTGCAAACTTCTAGAGAGCTCATGGATTAAATTTGCAACAAATGATGTTCCAAGATCAGTCAGAATTGTTTCAGGAATGTAACTGTGTTGAAAAAATATCGAAACAAGTGCTTTTGCTACTGCAACTAAGTATTTAGTGAAGACATCTATTCCAGTTAGTGCATATGGGTACATCGAGCCTGAGAATTGAACCACAAGATCAATTTGCATCATATCACCTGTGAATGATTGCTCTGATGACATGGGCTCTGAATGTGCTCTTAAACTACTGTTTAGCGCTCTTTTCACAGTTAAGCATGTTTGACAGTTTCTAAAATATCTGGCTAAGAATTCAGTAAACCCAGGGAAATAGAAACGCTTGCTGAATTCTTGAGCTGTTCTAATTTATCCTAAATGACCTCCAATAGGTGTATTGTGTATTCTAAATAAAAATTCACTTTTCAAGTGTTTTGGTATACAAGCTTGTCTATGACTTAATTTTCCCGTGTCGTCAAAAAAATTTCTGTAAAGAATGCCATTTCTTATTTCTAGTCTTGCGAAATTTTTGTGGTACTTCTTAATGTCATAACTTGCATAAGTCAAATTTTCGTTACATCCTGTTGACAACCATTGAACAACTTATTTCATGTCCTCGTCTTTTTTCTGTTCTTGTTCTAGGTCTCCCGGCAAAATTTCGTTTTGATAGACTGATGAGTTGTTTTGGGGATCACTATCTTGTATAGAGTTAATCTGAACAAGTCTTTTGATTTTGAAAAGTTCTCTTACTCTCTTTGCTTTCCCTGTTTCATGAACTTTCATTACGTTTTGCACTTGTGATAATTACGGATGCAATTTCAGAGCTGCTGCGACTTCAGAGCTGCTGCGATTTCAGAGCTGCTGCGAGTTCTGGGCTAATTGAATTTTCTTCACTAGTTGCTAAAGTTTCCTCAGTTAACTCAAAATTTGAAATTGTAACGTCTGGTGTTTTTGCTCTTGAGTGCACTAATATGTTCTGGTTGGTATTGAATCCTGTAATTGTAGTTCTACTGTTTGATTAGGGTCAGTTTGCCTTCTTGAACGAAAATCAGCGGCTTCATTTGCCTTTCCTGGGATATGTGCAAGAACTTTATTGAATGACAAGACTCTATCCAAAAAATTCTAAATTGATGGGGGCATCGATTTTGTTTGAAAAATTGAAGTTAAACTTTTATTATCCGTCAGGATAATAACAGGTTTTTCTACATCCCCATATATAATGAGAAAAAATTTCGAGTGCAAAATACAATGCTAAGAATTCCTTGCAATATATCAACAGTTTGAGTTGACCTGAGTTAAATAGTCGTGAACCGTATGAGACTGGCGCATAACTTTTTACTTTTGTGTCGGTTTTTCCTTTTTGAACAAAATCCTCGATCATGAGGACAAAACCGCTGCTATGATAACTGGCATCACAGAGTATCACGTATTGTTGGTCGGGTTTTGCTAGTCTCAGTGTGCGTTTTGTTGCTTTTAAAAGATCTTCTCTCAGAATTTTAAAATTCTTTTGGTGTTCTTCATTTAGCTTAAACTCGACGTCTTTTCCTAAGAGATGGTAAAAAGGCATTCGTTTTTCACCTAGATGTGGTAAGAATGATCTGAAGAACTGAACAAATCCTATCAATCTTTTTGTTTGCTTGACTGTCTGTGGCATTCTCATGTTTCTCAAAAATTTTTCTTCTTCGGGTTGCAGTCCCTTTTCAGTTATCGTATTTCCCAAAAAAGTTATTGAGGGCATGACAAACTGGCATTTCTTTGCTGAAAGTTTTAATCCGGAGCTCCCAAGCATTCAAAAACTTTTCGTAAATTTGGGATCATTTCTGAAAAACTTGTTACACCTGCAGGGGTCTAAGTATGATCTTATGAACGAGCTAAAGCCTGTCACTGACTTACTTAATCCTTGAGCTAGTGATTCAAATGCAAAAGTCCTAGAGGCAAAGTTGAAAGCCAAAAGTTGATAGCGGGTCTGCCATTTGTACACAGTGATAAGCTTGTGAACAGTCAAGTTTTGTGAAAAATCTTTTTCCTGCAAAATGATTTACTGTATCTGTCATGTTCGAGATTGAGGAATTATTATTGAGGTAATCATGTCTAAGTAAATGATTTATTTGTCGTAAATCGATTAAAAATTACAGTTTTCCTGACGTTTTGCGTTGTGCAAAAATAGGACTGCTGTATTTTGAGTTTGGTAAAATGGTTACTATATTATAGTAGTGCATTAATGCTAGTTCAACTAATAATTTTTCCCTCAGGTGAATAGGCGTCGGAGGTTTTTGAGTATAAGCTGGCAGATTATGTTCTGGTGTCAACTTAATATTAGCTCTGTGTTGTAACCAACATCGAATCTGTGTTTAGCAAAAATGTCAAAATATTCAAGCAAAAGTTCCTGTGTTTGTGTAATTTGTTCTGTGTCAAGTGAGGAGTTATTCCAATTAAATTGCTCAGGAAATTGTTGTCTGTCACCTTGTTTGTTTATATCAAGCTTGTCTAATTTTTCAAGATCGTGAATTGAGTCAAAAATTTGTTTTTGCAGTCTAGGAAGTGTATGTGGTTTATGGCAATTTTCTGGAGTCGGCAACCAAAGTTTTTCAGACTCAGATGTTGCTCTCTAGGTGCTGTGTTGTCCTCTGGTGTCTACTTGCACTAATTGGTTAAGTTCCATGAAAAGTTTTCCATTGGTTAGATTGTTGAGTGCTAGCATGGTTGCGTCTATTGGTATCAATTCACTGGACTCGATAGGGGTAAAAACTTTAAAGAAACCTAGCTTAGTTCATTTATTAATGGTCACTGGATGATCCGAAAGATTTAATGCCAAAATTTAGGTTTCGTTTTCAGAGCTTATTGTGACTAGTGCTGAAGTTAGAGCTAGTTCGAAATCATTTTCTAGTTTTGAATCTCGCATGAATGCGCCTTATATTCCATTGTTTTGCTTGTCTGTCTCAGGTTTGAATATTTAATTTTCCCTGTTGTTTCGGCTGTAGTATTGTTTTTTGTCGACAATAAATGTCAATTTTTGGCGTCTGTAAAATTTTGTGTTACTTTCCTACTTTGTTTTCATTCATATGGAATGTCATTTGTGGCAGTTTTAAAAAATTTCGGCTGGGACAAATATCAATGTCGTGTTTTTTGAAAAAGGGGTTTCCTAAAATCATACTGTTCATTACTGGGAGAACTAAGAATTCGTCGTGAAAGTCAAACTTGCCAAGTTGAAACTTATTTCTGCATTTGCCTATGATTTTAAGAAGTCGACCTGATGCCATTTCAACAAATGAAGATGGCCTTGGTTCTAGTGTGGATACATTATCTGGGTTATCGCTAAGGATTAAGCGACATACTTTTTCTGGGAGGGCACTTGCGCAAGCACCAGTGTCTGTAAGAGCTTTAGTGCTGAAGCTAGAGCTGAATCGAAGTTATTTTCTAGTTTTGAATCTGGTATGACTGCGCTTGATATTCCATTGTATTGCTTGTCTGTCTCTATCTTGAATATATTTATTTCCTGTTGTTTCGGCTGTAGTTTTGTTTTTTTTTCGACGAAAAATGTCAATTTTTGTCGTCTGTAAAATTTTGCGTTTCTTTTCTACTTTAATGTTATTCATATGGAATGTCATTTGTGGGAGTTTTAAAAGATTTCGGGTGGGACAAACACCAATGTCGTGTTTTTTGAAAAAGGGGTTTCCTAAAATCATACTGTTCATTGCTGGGAGAACTAAGAATTCGTTGTGAAATTCAAACTTATCAAGTTGAAACTTATTTCTGCATTTGCCTATGATTTTAATAAGTCGACCTGATGCCATTTTAACAAATGAAGATGGCATTGGTTCTCGTGTGGTTACATTATCTGCGGTAATCGCTTCATCTTGGAAATTTTTGGAGGTCATAAAGCCAAGAGCAACAAACAATGGAAATCATCAATTTAGTGTCCCCCTCAGACAGTCCACAGAAAAACACAAGACAATGAAGTCCTCGTGGAAACAAGCATACAAAACAAAAACGTCGAGAACACAAACGTCAAAATCACAAAAGAGACTACCTAAGGACCTAAAGGAACACCAAAACGAGGATCAAGATGACGAGAAAACCGATCGAGATGATGAGTAAATTCAACAGAAGTTGGGAAAAAAAACCGCATAAGAAGCTATATTGTCCAATGAGGACTCGAAAACTCAACATTGTCCTACTGGGACACAAGAACTTGGATCCTACAGGGACCTAAAACTCATATCAATGAATGTTTTGGGTTTTTTCCGGGGAGGAATGTCATTTGGCCGGAGTGACAAAGTTAGATATTCAGTGCAAAAATTTCGAGTGCAAAATACAATGCTAAGAATTCCTTGCAATATATCAACAGTTTGAGTTGACCTGAGTTAAATAGTCGTGAACCGTATGAGACTGGCGCATAACTTTTTACTTTTGTGTCGGTTTTTCCTTTTTGAACAAAATCCTCGATCATGAGGACAAAACCGCTGCTATGATAACTGGCATCACAGAGTATCACGTATTGTTGGTCGGATTTTGCTAGTCTCAGTGTGCGTTTTGTTGCTTTTAAAAGATCTTCTCTCAGAATTTTAAAATTCTTTTGGTGTTCTTCATTTAGCTTAAACTCGACGTCTTTTCCTAAGAGATGGTAAAAAGGCATTCGTTTTTCACCTAGATGTGGTAAGAATGATCTGAAGAACTGAACAAATCCTATCAATCTTTTTGTTTGCTTGACTGTCTGTGGCATTCTCATGTTTCTCAAAAAAATTTTCTTCTTCGGGTTGCAGTCCCTTTTCAGTTATCGTATTTCCCAAAAAAGTTATTGAGGGCATGACAAACTGGCATTTCTTTGCTGAAAGTTTTAATCCGGAGCTTCTCAAGCATTCAAAAACTTTTCGTAAATTTGGGATCATTTCTGAAAAACTTGTTACACCTGCAGGGGTCTAAGTATGATCTTATGAACGAACTAAAGCCTGTCACTGACTTACTTAATCCTTGAGCTAGTGATTCAAATGCAAAAGTCCTAGAGGCAAAGTTGAAAGCCAAAAGTTGATAGCGGGTCTGCCATTTGTACACAGTGATAAGCTTGTGAACAGTCAAGTTTTGTGAAAAATCTTTTTCCTGCAAAATGATTTACTGTATCTGTCATGTTCGAGATTGAGGAATTATTATTGAGGTAATCATGTCTAAGTAAATGATTTATTTGTCGTAAATCGATTAAAAATTACAGTTTTCCTGACGTTTTGCGTTGTGCAAAAATAGGACTGCTGTATTTTGAGTTTGGTAAAATGGTTACTATATTATAGTAGTGCATTAATGCTAGTTCAACTAATAATTTTTCCCTCAGGTGAATAGGCGTCGGAGGTTTTTGAGTATAAGCTGGCAGATTATGTTCTGGTGTCAACTTAATATTAGCTCTGTGTTGTAACCAACATCGAATCTGTGTTTAGCAAAAATGTCAAAATATTCAAGCAAAAGTTCCTGTGTTTGTGTAATTTGTTCTGTGTCAAGTGAGGAGTTATTCCAATTAAATTGCTCCGGAAATTGTTGTCTGTCACCTTGTTTGTTTATATCAAGCTTGTCTAATTTTTCAAGATCGTGAATTGAGTCAAAAATTTGTTTTTGCAGTCTAGGAAGTGTATGTGGTTTATGGCAATTTTCTGGAGTCGGCAACCAAAGTTTTTCAGACTCAGATGTTGCTCTTTAGGTGCTGTGTTGTCCTCTGGTGTCTACTTGCACTAATTGGTTAAGTTCCATGAAAAATTTTCCATTGGTTAGATTGTTGAGTGCTAGCATGGTTGCGTCTATTGGTATCAATTCACTGGACTCGATAGGGGTAAAAACTTTAAAGAAACCTAGCTTAGTTCCTTTATTAATGGTCACTGGATGATCCGAAAGATTTAATGCCAAAATTTAGGTTTCGTTTTCAGAGGTTATTGTGACTAGTGCTGAAGTTAGAGCTAGTTCGAAATCATTTTCTAGTTTTGAATCTCGCATGAATGCGCCTTATATTCCATTGTTTTGCTTGTCTGTCTCAGGTTTGAATATTTAATTTTCCCTGTTGTTTCGGCTGTAGTTTTGTTTTTTGTCGACAATAAATGTCAATTTTTGGCGTCTGTAAAATTTTGTGTTACTTTCCTACTTTGTTTTCATTCATATGGAATGTCATTTGTGGCAGTTTTAAAAAATTTCGGCTGGGACAAATATCAATGTCGTGTTTTTTGAAAAAGGGGTTTCCTAAAATCATACTGTTCATTACTGGGAGAACTAAGAATTCGTCGTGAAAGTCAAACTTGCCAAGTTGAAACTTATTTCTGCATTTGCCTATGATTTTAAGAAGTCGACCTGATGCCATTTCAACAAATGAAGATGGCCTTGGTTCTAGTGTGGATACATTATCTGGGTTATCGCTAAGGATTAAGCGACATACTTTTTCTGGGAGGGCACTTGCGCATGCACCAGTGTCTGTAAGAGCTTTAGTGCTGACGCTAGAGCTGAATCGAAGTTATTTTCTAGTTTTGAATCTGGTATGACTGCGCTTGATATTCCATTGTATTGCTTGTCTGTCTCTATCTTGAATATATTTATTTCCTGTTGTTTCGGCTGTAGTTTTGTTTTTTTTTTTCGACGAAAAATGTCAATTTTTGGCGTCTGTAAAATTTTGCGTTTCTTTTCTACTTTAATGTTATTCATATGGAATGTCATTTGTGGGAGTTTTAAAAGATTTCGTGTGGGACAAACATCAATGTCGTGTTTTTTGAAAAAGGGGTTTCCTAAAATCATACTGTTCATTGCTGGGAGAACTAAGAATTCGTTGTGAAATTCAAACTTATCAAGTTGAAACTTATTTCTGCATTTGCCTATGATTTTAATAAGTCGACCTGATGCCATTTTAACAAATGAAGATGGCATTGGTTCTAGTGTGGTTACGTTATCTGGGTTATCGCTTCATCTTGGAAATTTTTGGAGGTCATAAAGCCAAGAGCAACAAACAATGGAAATCATCAATTTAGTGTCCCCCTCAGACAGTCCACAGAAAAACACAAGACAATGAAGTCCTCGTGGAAACAAGCGTACAAAACAAAAACGTCGAGAACACAAACGTCAAAATCACAAAAGAGACTACCTAAGGACCTAAAGGAACACCAAAACGAGGATCAAGATGACGAGAAAACCGATCGAGATGATGAGTAAATTCAACAGAAGTTGGGAAAAAAAACCGCATAAGAAGCTATATTGTCCAATGAGGACTCGAAAACTCAACATTGTCCTACTGGGACACAAGAACTTGGGTCCTACAGGGACCTAAAACTCATATCAATGAATGTTTTGGGTTTTTTCCGGGGAGGAATGTCATTTGGCTGGATTGGCAAAGTTAGATATTCAGTTGTATTTATTTATATCTCACTGCGTTCAGCAGGTCACTTGATCTTGTGCAATTTATGAAAGCGCAACATCATGCTATGATGGTTAGAACTTAAATAAAGACTTTCAGAACTAGTTGTTTTCTTTGAGTTCTCAATAATACCTTATTTGTTGATTAACAATCCATTTTGATTCTATATTGATAGATACCATACGTTACGGTATGACAGTTTGAATAGGAGTTGAAAGTGTTTCAATTTGATATATCACTCGATACCATCTGACGTTCATCTGCGTTTCCGACTTTGCGCCGAATTCTAACCCCAAAGCTAAATTTCAATTTCAAAAAATTGGAAAACGGCAAAATCAAGTATGATGAATTAGATTTTTTCGTCTTGAATAACCAATTTTCAGCCTTTCGAATGAGCTGTCTGTACCGAAACGATGTTTCTGTTTTTTTTTGTTGAAATTATATGTTATTGTTTTCCCTCAGCAAGCATTGAGCTTGATCAGTATACACTAAGTCCTTCAAATCCACTCCTTGCCTGCGCATTTGTTCGTGAATGTAGGCTAGAGTGTTTGTCGGTATCAAAGGCGATCGACTATATGCCCACATATACTCAGATCCGAACCAATATGAGTCACATCCATAAAACACTGCGTAGTTGTCAGGATCAAACAAGATTAGATTGTGTCGAAACTTCCGAGAGACCAGTTCCTGGCTAGCCCGGAACCTCGAGTACATGTGTCCGGAGGGAGGATTGAGTTGCACGATTTTTCCGGTCACGTATCTCGAACCTCTTCCGTAATTGCCAGCTTTCTGCGCATAAAGAAATTCGGAACCTAAATGTTGAAGCATTCAGCTGAGTGAAACATGAATGTTCGAATTTGTTGCAAACGCACTTTATCCAATAACTTGGATTCTCTACGACCACAATTTTTGTGAAAAGATTAAGCTTTTAATGTGAAACAAATATGAAAATATTAATTCAGTTTCTTAAATCCTACGCCATGTTTGCTTCAAATCATTTTATTTGAGGTCCCGTTGTCTGTCCTCTCCAAGTCTCAAATTTTAATGCTGATTGTATGCTTATTTGTGTTGGAGAAATATATTCTTTCTTTCTTTCTCTTTTTTGATAGTAGATTCAAACAATAAATGGAACCTTTTGTAGTCTTCCCAATCGAGAGATAGAGGAAGTTGCACCGATAGAACATCCTCTCCATTATGACGTCATACTTCTCGATCTCGTACCAGACACCAGTCAGCTCCTCAAGCGTCACATTGGACACCGTAGTGACGTTAGGACACCGGCCGATGTGTAGTCTTGCCGCTGCTCCTTCGATTAGACCAAAAATGAGCACCGATATAAATGTCAAAAAGTACATTACTTTGCTGGTGACATTAAATAATGTAAGAGGATAATATAATATAATAGTTTTCAATCAGTATAGACGAATTAGGCATTCAAAATGTGAAACACAAGGTTACCTATAATTATTTCTTTGATGTCATTTGAGTTATAAAATACAAATGTAAATATACGGTTATTAAACCAAAATCAAATAGAAGTATCACTCAGAAATCGTGACAATGGTTTGTAAATTTCATCACTTAAGAGAATTCAATTGACGGTCAGCGACTGTGAATAAATAATTTGACTATAAATGAGGGTAGGGTTGAACGCTTTCCTACAATTTGAAACCCTCATAGTCATATCACTTCCGTCAAAACTTAGTCATATCACTTTCTTTTTAATTCAAATCTCTGGCAATTTAACTCCTATTTTTGTTCCGACTTTCGAAGAAAATGAAATATTTATCCTCGGTGTGGTTTTTTATTCAGTCAATTTTCACCGATCGAAATAATATTTTTCAACTAAAGTTTTTTTACTCTTCATTGAAAATATCAACTTCCTGAGTTCAAATGAAAAAAGATAATTCACCTCCAATTTTTTTTTTGAAAAGTTCCGAGGGTTTAAATTTTGCCAAATTTGCTATGTTCTGGACTAAATTATGCGAGCTTTGAAGAGTTTAATCTTAACGCCGAGAGCGTAACGCGAATTATTTATGCGCGGCGAACTCGCACAATAAAATCGTTCCAAATTGAATTGAGGTTAGCTAATTGGCCGTATTAATTTCGTACGTTTCAAAATTTTACACGTAGATATTGTCCAAACTGTATAGGTTTTCAATTTTTTTTTCCACGGAAACTATGCGATATGAATTAAATGACAGTCTGAACATTCAGGGGTTTGCCTGATATATGAGCAGTCTTGTATAACTTTAAGCCCCGAAATAGCTCTGTATGAAATATTAACTCAGAACTTCTAACTATGAAATGTGTCCTCCAAATAATGCACGCAACACAATCAATTACTTGGTTTATTTCAGGGGGTTTAGGAACTTAAACGACAGGAAATTAGACGATCAGAAAAAAACGGAGTTTAGACAATAACTGGCGTGCAAATTACGTGAAACTTGTTTATAGACTTAAATTATCTTTTGGCCGAGTAATTAATGGTTGCTCAAAATTGACTAATTTGCGTATAAATTGCGTGAATTTTGTTTACAGACTTAAATTAACTTTTGGCTGAGTAGGTACTGGCTGTCCGTAAATTCTGTTTGTTAACGGTAGTCTATTTTGCTTGTTGTCTAATTTTTTAGGCCCCTTACCTCAGTTATACAGGCAAAAATGAGGACTCCTAAAATATTCAAGAAAATCTTGGACAAACCCATAAATAAAATTGGTAGAATCACTGCACCGGTATGGTTAGTAGGTTTGACTGGTAGACGATCATCTGTTCAAAGCAAGTTGACGTATCATTTCTGAAAAAAGTTTGGTCTGACGAAGCAACAACATAAAGTAGAATTAAAAAAAACTGGTGCGCCTTGAGCCCGAAATGCGGTTAATGTTGTTTGAAAAAGCGGCAAAATCTATGATATTCTGGTTCACGAATCTCAGATTGTATGCGACAGTAATTGTTAAAATGTCAAAACCAAAAAAAATGAAAAATTTAACAAGCTTACTTTTGTTTGATTCAATTTTCTTTCGAGATTATAATCCTAACTCATTTTTTAAATCTTCTTATAAGACATATCCTTGCAGACACCCCCAAAACATTTTTGTGTTACCATGGCAAAAAGTGAAAAAAGCTAATAAAAAATTCAATTTATAGATTGGAGTACGCGCCTCACTGAAAATTTATATTTCAGCTCCTGGTCGCTGCATAGACATTTCTCAACTTCATAACCGACTCAGATTTTCGGAAAATTACACAATTTTTGGTGAAAGTTTTTTAGTTTAATTAAGGGCCTTTGAATTTCAAGAAAAAACTACTCGTAAAGGGTTTGTAATTTAAACAATCAGAAGTATTGATTGAGTCAATTTAATTTGAAAATTACGGAGACTTGACTGGCTTTACATGAACAAAAAAAAACATTTTTGTTCCGACTTTCGATACGAAAGTAACGGAATATTTGTGCTCGGGGTGGGTTTTTTTTTCTTCAGGCAAATTTCGACTTCTTAATTAGCCATTTTTGACGGAATTTTTCAAATGATTTTTAAGATCATTCGAAAGGTATTGTTGTCTTGAGCTCAAATTTGAAAAGATATTTCACCTGTGATAATTTTTCATAAAGTTATGGGGGTTTAAAGATTGCCATTATGGCCAATTTGGGACAATTAACGCGCGATATATTTCGCGCTATTAACGCGTAAGCGGAGAGTTAATCCGTCTTAGAAATCGTTCCAAATTGGTTAAAAGAAGCTTATTCGCCATATTTGGTTTGTTACAAGGAGCAAAATCTATCGTTTTGTACTTTGTATGGCGTGTGGGGGGATGATTTTCATAAAAAAGATCAAATTTTAGAAAACATAATTTTCATTTTATTTTTTCTAACATTCAATTTTTTAATGTTATTACTGCTCCATAAACCTTAAAAGGCAGTCGGAACATTCAGGGCTTCGCCCTGATACGAGCAGTCTTGTATAGTTTTGTTGTTTAATGTACAAATTGAAGTAATTTTTTTTTCAGTTTTGATTCAAACGGCAAAGTATAAGTTATAGCAATATCTTCGAAAAGAAGTGATTTTATAACGCTAGTGATGACCGGTTTGACGGTTGGGACTGAAATCAGACGAGGTTGTCTTGATTTAAAAGGTGAGAACCAATTGAACACAAACTAACTCTGACACACACATGTGCAAGCACGCGCAAGCCCACACACACACACAAGCCACTATCTTGCAAGCACAATATAAAATGACCCACGCAGCTACACCAGTCTACCTGAAACTCTTTGTGAAGTGGTAGAGATTTTTACTGGGTCTTAAAAATCTCCTCTAATAGTTTCTGTAATAAGGTCAATCACAAAGTTTTGTTGAATTTGAGCTCTGTAGTTTTAAAAACCTGTTTGGTTATTTACGCTCGTTGATTTTCCTCATACGTGCTGAACTGAGCCGTACGAACAAAGATTAGCAATAACATTTCAGCAACTGATGAGTAATTTATTCTGTTATTGAAACGAAACCTCCTGTAGTGGGGTTCCATGGATAATAATTGAGTATAGTCGATTTTCGTGGTCAAGAATGTTGGCATTAAAATCGATTATAATTACACTTTTGGACCACAAAAACGACTAGAATCCATTATATTCAATTTATATTTAAAAAATGATTGTATTTAATTTTAATTTAAAGTCTATTATAATTGCAAAGTGTTTTTAAAAAGCAATTTCAAATCGGCTTACAATCGCAAACTCATTTTATAGTTAGAAAAAAAATTTGTATACGTTAGTTAGAATCCTTCAAATTGATTATAATGGGTTTTATTGGATTATGATGACAAGACAATTTTCACATATTTTTTCAAGTTTAGTTAAAATCCCAAATAAGTGGCTAGAATGGATTAATGGATTATTGGGGCACAAAAATGTCACAAAAGGACTAGAATCCGTTATATTCGATTTATATTTAAAAATGATTCTATTTAATTTAAAGTCCATTATAATTGCAAAGTGTTTTTAGAAAGCAATTTCAAATCGGCTTACAATCGCAAACTCATTTTATAAGAAGAAAAAAAATTTATACGTTAGTTAAAATCCATCAAATTAATTATAATGGGTTTTATTGGATTATGATGACAAGTTAAAATCCATAATAAGTGGCTAGAATGGATTAATGGATTATTGGGGCACCAAAAAATGTCACAAAATTGATTTCAGTTTTTTTATCCCCAAAAAAGTTGTTTGTTAAATGACAGTGAAAACATCAAGAAAACCGTGTTTCACATGTAAAATTTTACGAAAAACATTGCATAATAAATGACAATAAGCTTTATTAGCGAACTAGTGAAGACTGTAGAAAACGCGAATTATTTCAAGCACAAAAAATTGGTCAATTTTTTTGATTAGTTTCAATGAGTTCTTTTTGATTTTTTTTTGTGTTTATTCTTCCGGCTGTTGGTGGAGTATTTGATTTGCTGGTTGGTTGCTTTGCTGACATCTGTGTTTTGTACCTAAATAAGGAGAAAAGCGATTATACCTGCGTCGCTTTATAGATACATCTCAACAATCTTCTGTAGATGGGTTATGTGGTTTGAAATTCTCAAAGTGAGCAGTTCAACCTGTGCTGAGTCTGTAAAAGTTTCCTTTTTGGTGTAACTTCATTATCATGAACGGCACTCTCCATTTCTTCAGGAGTTTCTTCATACCCTTCCGTGGGATCACGTTCTGAAAGAACTATATGTAGTCTCCTATTGAGTAGGCTCTGGCCCGCACCGCTCTCTTGTCAAGTTTATTCCTTTGTCTTATCTGTGCTTGTTGTGAGTTGACTCTGCCTACGTAATTAGTCTTACATAGTTTTGATTTATTTGGAAAACATAATAAGAGGGGTAACACATTTCGTAATTTCTTTTTAAAAAATTCGTCGGCTACTTCGTTGAACTTTTATTTAAATATTTCCAAAACTGAAATACACTCTCTCAAAAATGTACGTAAAAATTTATCTTGGCAGCAAAACTGCCTAATGGTTTTCGCAAACAAAAAAGACTTTTCAAAACTTTTCGTGTACATAAATTGAACCCCCCTAGTACAGCAGACTTCAGTGATCTTCTTTGTTTTTGAACACCATTTGCCGTACTAACTGCTAACCTGGACCTGTTAAATCATAACAATATTTCCGAGAAGCTGAAAAGCAGGTTCCATCCAGGAAACATACCAGTCAAAGGATGAGCTGTAAAAGAGGTTATGAGGACAATTTCGAGTAAAAACAATAAGGCTGACCCAATAAAATGAGGCAGAGTTTATACACTTAATGTTCCGGCCTAATGTTAATTTTGATTTTCGGTCGAAGTTCCATCAGTCTGTGATCTGGAGAGACAGTGATTTAACCTAGTTAATGTTAAAAAATGTGTTTATTATCAAGATTAGTCATCTTAGAAAAATTATGAGGTCGCACTATTTAAAGGTTTTGTTTTTGAAAAATAGTTTAGAAAAATTGAATCGAAAAAAAAC